GATGTGTGATTTCGCCAAACTGTTCCATTTTGTAGAATAGTTTATATTAAATTTAATTGTACGCCTTTATTAATCAATTTTAACTTGTATACTGTTTAGATTCAACCCCTAATAATTGGACTCTTGCACATTGTTTGAACAATCGAATTGTTTGCTTGAAACGGTCTCTTGGGAGATGACACTTCTATTCAAGCATTCCCATTGCGCAACAAGAACATACGTTTCAACTGTAGCTTGTACTGTACATTGAAACGCCAGTGCAATATACGTTTTGCAAATGGAGTTATTTATGGAGATGTCTGAAGTTTGCAGGGATAGAAGTTACTTTTTTGCGAGAATATAGATTCGAACTTTATGTTGTCAATCATATCAATTTATAAGTAGCTATGCTATGATGAGGTGACACGAGTATATTCTATCTAAAACTTATTTACGAACGTCACCGTCGTGTAGAATAAAGTTTTACCGGAAAAATTTATTAATTTTTGACGGAATATTGAGCCTAGCTAGATTAAGGGATTTTGAGAAAATTTGACATACCTATTTACGAATGACTCAATGGACATTAAGAAAAATGTATCAATAGAAATACATCTTATAGAATATCTAACTTGGACACAGCCATAAATGTGGTAAATACAAAAAATGTGAATAGCTTAAATGCATGATTTGAAAAAATTAAAGTTGACGATCATTATTAATTCCAAATTGGGTACTGAAGCTGACGTTAATATAGTAACTCAAGCTATTAAAGTTAAAAGCGCAAATATTAATGTGATACCTGCGAAGGAAATATGATTAAAACATGCAAGAGAAAGAACACCCGAATCCTGTTACAAAAGTATCAGATTACATGAAAATTTGGTAATGTTAAAGATAATGTAACAGCACTGCTACGAATGGCTAGTTGTGTTAAATTACATTTTATACCATTAGTAACGTTTATCTGTATACCGATAAGAATGAATTTACTCAAACTAATTCAGATATTTTCTATGGATTTGGCAAGTTTTCTCAATAAAAAATAATAACGACATATATTTTCAGAAGAAGTGAGTAAGTTTTATAGACAGGGCAAGATCAACAAGGGGCTCGGATGTATTGCTGTGTTGTGTAAACCTTTTCCTGAAATTCCATGGAATGGGTTACATTATCTTAGAGGTTTGAAAATTCTGAAATTTAAATTTCCGCACCAAACGCTGATATCGCTCAAATGTTTTTGCTCATTATGGATTTAATAAATAAAAATAACTGAAATGTTTGTTGAATGTGCCGGCCAGTGTGGCGCAGTGGGGTTGAAGATCGACTGCGGTACCAAGGGTCCCTGTTTTAAATCCGATATTAGATATAAATGTATAGTGGTTTGGATTGGTAGAGCAGCTTTGACTGAAACCCCGGAGAAACTCTTGGTTTGTGTAACACACTGAATACTCTCTGAGTGTGTTAGGAGCAGTTAGTACTATTGGCATCATTGAGATCAGATCACATTTTGTCGTTGAAATGACAGGTCCCTCTTTGCGAAAAGGGTTAATTTGAATGGGAAAATTCCAGACCTAACACGCTAAAATTGTTTAAATTAATTATCTAAGCGTCTTTACGCGCATGGGACGATGGCTATACCCTCTTTAGGTAAAGATATTTTCATAGAATTCTTCTTCTTTAACACTTTTATTTTTTGGATATGCCATATGTGTTAATTTACTTACCTATCTTTGTTTTACTTATATCGCAATCCGAAACCCATTTATTAATGGGGTAGGTAAGTTCGAATTTATTGGAATTAGGTCTGATTTTCGCATTGTAGTTTTTGGATATATTTTCTTTGTACGTTACTTATGAGCACTGGAGTGATCATATTAAAGAATTGCCATGTTCTGGATGAACTGCAAACACTGACTTTCGAATTGAAGAGTGCTACCTGTCGATTAGCTTGAACTGATCTATTACGTTGTATCTAAGGTCGAAGAATCACTAAGCAAATGCTTACTCAATTACCTGAAATTGCAAACGTGCAAGTAACATGTTGGTAATCGCTTTCGTCGTTAGTTTATCTTGCCGTTTACCTTTGCCAATGTCGTGACAAATTGCTCTGCAATTGATATTTTGAATACAACAGTTGCAGATGTATGCTTAATTAAGTGTTTTTGTCGTTACTGTTAACGCGAGGTACATAATTCAGAATTTGTCTGTAATCGAGGTTATACTAACTTTATAAGTGCTCAGCTGGGCTGAACATTTGCCTTTAGTTACATAAGTGTATCCTTTACCAGAATTACTAATTTATTTACTATTTTTTATGCAACCAAAAGTGCTAATTCATTTACTGTTTTATACAATTCATTATCTCTTGTATGCATGTATAGTGTAACGTGATTTATAAATTCGGGTTCGATTTATATCAATATTTATTAAACAAAACTAAAACACTATAAAAACTGTACAATTTATATCGACTATTTATATCACACACTTCGCAATTTGTATTTCCGCGCTCGATGTTTCATCCGTACTCGATCTCGTTCGGTAGTAAACTGCCTGCGATGTTCGGTCCGCAACCATTTATACACGCAAGCAATGTAAGTTCAGAACACTCGCGTAATTACCAGATACGTCGCAAACATTCCCACTATCGCGCGCCTAGAAAATTCCAGAGCGCCAAAGGCGACGTCACGTCTGGAGAGTTTCCGTTACAATAGATTCTTTGTCAAGACAAAGGTATTATACCCGCTGGCGCCCGAGGATTCACAAAACATTGTATTATTATTTTATTTTTAGTTTATATTTTTACCTCGATTTTTACTTACTAAAATTATATGACCTTCTCAAACCACTGTGGTTGTTTCACTGGATTTCCTCTGGCTATCTGTGGTCAATTCTATTTTCCTTCTTGAGGTTCGCTGCAAGTATGAGAATCAGGATTCCTATGTTTTCACTTTTCACACAGTTGAAGGCCAAATGCAAGGAGCGTTGACGACCACAACAATAGTGACTGAAGCTACACCGGTTGGAGCTTACCAGGGAATCTCATTTTCTCACTTTGTATACTCTACAACTTATATGCCCTGGTCGAACCAAGCCTTCCCCAGTCACTACTTCGGGCTTGGCAGAGAAGCCCGTTTTCGGCTCTAGATGGATCTCAATTAGTGCCGCAGAGGTCTAAGTTGGATGTTTTCAGGAAGTTCATGCGACAAGAAGTAAAGAATGAAATGAGGATTTCCCTAGCACGTGAAGGATTTCAATCAACTACACCACCACAGCAACAATCAAAATATAATGGTAAGAGAGGAGAATAAAAGCAATATACAAGAAGATATCGCGCCCACAGTTTCCGGATTGTTATCAAATGTGGCGGGGGAGGATTTCTGAATTTTTGTGATCAAAATCATGGAAAGCGAAAAGAAATGAACTATGAAGATAAGCCAAAAACAGCGATTAAACAAAATGCCTTGCTTCAGATGTTTGAAAATTGGTCACCCCTCCAGGAAATGTAAGAAAAAAGTCCGATGTGAGTCATATAACCGCAGTCATTATCAAATTATCTGCTCAGACAGAGACTTTGGATGGAACCTGGGAGGACCATTGCCGAAGTTAACCACGTATATCACTAAAACAATCGTTTCAATGCTCTCAATCCCGCCAGCCCTTTCTGACTTATGGAATCTGGAGACCAGTCAAAGGCGGAAAGCGCCATGGATGCTAGTAACTTCTTTTTAAAGACGGTTCAAAGGGAAGATGATGGAAGGTACATTGTAGCACTCCCTTGAAATGGAAAAGAGGAATATCTCCCCACGAATCACTCAGTAAGTGAGAAGAGGATGGAATCGGTTACTATATTTCTTACCTACTATTTCTTTGCGGCCGCTTTCGACGACGATCATGTCATGTTCGAGAAAAACCAAGTTTGAATGAATGCCTTGCGAAGGGACCCAATTTAATTGTTTGTTGATTCCTTCCATTATAATGAAGAATGTGAGAGTTGAAAGGAAAAGGAAAATACCATTATGACAGCTGCTAAAATGGAGTGGCCGACGTCCTCAGAAATAGTTCCCAATGCAAATTGTGAAATTGTGGCTTGAAATGGAATAGAGGAAACGACACTCTTTTACAATGTGTAAACAAGGATCCCATGTTTGAAAAAGAAGTTACGAAGCGTGAAGCGATGTAGGTATCTCCTCAGCCGCAGGAGTGTTCGATCGGATGGGATACTTGTCTCCAGTCACAATCCAGGAAAAATTGCTACCTTACGGAACGTGGAGTGGAAGTCCAGGATGAGTGAAAAGACAGAAAAGGAATTTCGGCTGTGGTCATCGTTCCCACCTATCTTGAAGGAAACATTCGTACCACGTCATTTTCAAATAGAGAACGCGTCTGGCCTTCAACTTTATGTTTTTTCTGAGATTTTCAAGATACGTATGCTGCTGCTGTGTTCTTGAGGAGTGAAAATGTAGCATTTTTGACGAGATTGTAGATAGCACATTTTCGCCTTCTGTAATTTAGAATAGCTGTAATTCCGATTGGATGACTTTTATAAAATCTTACTATCCGAAGGCTCAATACATTAAGTGCTAAGGAAATGCTTACCTTTTTATGGTATTCGGATTATTTACTTCTACATGTTGATTTTTTACTGTACAGTATTTTCTTAATTCTTTCCACACATGTTTTTTTTATTTTTATGGCCAAATTGAAAATTTAGAGCGTGTTTTTTCTCTTGCCTGTCAGGAAAAGTCGTATAATCACGCAGTTGTTTGTAATAATTCCAATCATTCGCGTTATTTGACTTTTTAAATCATATATATGGTTTACTATGCAAGTTAATTAATAATTTCATATTATCAGTTAACCATGGGGTATGAGGTCTAATGTAAATACAGCGTGGAAAGTTGACGGCGGAACATAGGGAAATAACATGGGAAAATACATTTTCCGCAGTTTCGGCTCCCCATTTGAAATTGATTTTCATTATCAAATAACACCCACTTTTGAAGTTAAAGTACTAATTCATTTGTGATTTGATTTATTATTTTATGCATATAAGGTAACAATGTGTACGTTATTTTATTCATAGAGCGTGTGGACGTTGTCTTAAAAACTAACTACATAATCCTTCTGCTTCACAGAACACTTCTTCCTGTCACTTGTTGACCTGACAACCTGATTTCCATACCTGTTTAAATCCTGAAAACTTAAAACCGTTCATCGCTTTCGAGTTATTCATTTCATGCCGCTTTCTGTTTATCCTGTATCGATAACCCACCTTTACCTGCATCATTAACGTCAACTAAAGTGTTCTTTGACCCAATGCTGCGAAGTAAAGAATCAGCTGTCTGGAAACTGTCTCGGCGTTGTAACTGGAAATTCTTGTGGAATACATGGGACTCACATTTATTAACGACTCATATTGCCCTAAATTACAAAAACATTTCTCCTTGTTATCAGCCAGAGCACATATCTATAATATATCTCTGAGAAGTCAAGAATTATGTTGACGATGACGGAATAAGGTTCCAATGGTTGTTGCTTTAAATACGTATATTAAACATGATTATTTCATTTTGCAGTATAGAGGATAATTTCAAAGAAAAAAGAACAAATACATTAAAGAAGATTGAACAATTACGTAATTAGTGATAATAGTACACACAAAAATGTATACCTATAAGTAATCCCTACAGAGGCATATTGATCAATATTTGTCAGTATTGCATAAGTTGCTTCCGCAAGACGTACAGTATTTTATTGATTTGTCATTAGCCTGGTGGTGTTCACAATTAAATACAGAACAATATCTCTGCGCTACACCTAGAAGGACCCCATTTTCTGTAAAAGCTAAAAAAGAGGTAGATGATCTTCGTGTATTAGATAACATATTACTTACTTCCATAAGTAAACATGCAATATCCTACACAGCGCTCACTTTTGGTAATATTATCAAAGTGACGACAGTTGAGGGTGGCTTGAGGATCCTTGTCGTTAGCATAGCAACGATAGCAGTCGTTTGCGGATCTAACTACGATTCCATACGTTTAAGGAAATCAAATTTTACATTAAATTATGATTAATAAAATACTTGTTTACTATTTCTCTCTTATCTCCATTTGAAATACTTTAATAGCGAATTTGAATCTAATCTATTAATCTGCCACCAACGATTTATTGTTTTATTTCACACTCGTCTTGACAACTTTGTTATGTAACAAATATGATAAACACTGATTAAATCCACTTAACTGCTAAGCACCACGTATACAGGCATATTCTCAAATATTAAAACTTTCCCAGACCAAAGTGCCAGAATACTACAGTGTCACGTTACAAAGACGAAGATGAAAAGATGTTAAAAGTATGCGGTGATGAACCTACATCTATCTCGACTACATGTATTTCAAGTTTACTCTTTCACTGCAAGGCCAGTTACAGATAAACCCTAAAGCTGTAAGTAACCAAAATTCATATTCAGTTTTCGCTACAATTATGAATAGCACTATTCGTAAAGGAAGGTCCACTAGCGAACAATATAAACGGTTCAAGTGAATTGTTAATTTAAAATTGATTATTGATTATGATTGATGACGTTGGTGCAAGTAGGTGCTAATAGTTATAAAGTAATTAGTACGGTTATCTACGTTACAATCATAAACGTGTCTTACATACCTGAGGTAACAGCTAGACACATAAGACCAACAGAAGCGAATACAAGTTTTAAGTACATGTCTTCAAAAAGATGACAATACTCGTGTATGTGGCAGCCTGCACACTTATTTATACCTACTTTATCAAGAGGTTTAACAGATTAGAGACATAAAATATAGAATGATTATCTACTTATCTATAATGATTAGAAAGACAAATCCCGATTACTATTACTCCACTCAATTTATCATCTCATGAGTTTTTTTTATTTGCAAACATCAAAAATAAAATGCGAGGTAAAAAATATTCGCACTCTGAAGCATCAGTTGTTGAAAGACTTCTGAAATTTCTGTTTCAGAACAGAAAAAAATGCTTCACAAATCGGATTGTAGTAGTGACATCAAAGGAGACTACATCTTCGTCGTTCCATTTACAATTACAATTCCAAATGTATTACAAGGAAGACGCAATTCAGAAAATTATGCGTGGATGTCAACGTTGCTTATGTATTTGGAAACCATCTTGAAGCTGTAGCTTGAGGACATATTTTCTTGTTCAGTGAATGGGGCTCACATTTATCAAATGAGACGAGTTTTTTACGCAGTATTATAAATGTCTAGCTATCTTTTTGGCATTTAATAACTGATATTTTCGGGTTATGGAGATCTTGCTTCCCAAAACACAGCTAAAAAGAGGTAAATGATATTCGCGTATTAAATAACATACTGCCTATTTCCAAAAAAAAATAGCATTACCCAGTTGGTGTAAGTACCATACTGGGAGTTGCAGTAACACTACGAGTAAAAAACAAAAGGAGAGAACCTTGCATTAAAAGGGGACTTGACGGAAATGGACAAAAAGGAAGTGATAAAAGTGCGAGAACAGTGAGGAGAAACGCGTCATTATTGGCAGTGGTGTAATAAAACAAAACTGACATAGTCTCTTCTGTTTTATGATAAGTCAAGTCGACATAACTGACCAGCGCAAAGGAAGTGATATTTTGACGAGTTTTTATCCGTAATATTATTAATTAAATCGAGCGACCTGCTCTGTCTAAATTTAGAAGAAGTAGTTCTTTGTTCTCGTCATTTGGCTCCAGTATTTTCTGTACCGTTATCGGTTATTAAATAGATATTATATCACAATTTCATAACCATAAAAAAATCATATGAAAGTATAACATGCCTCAAGATTGAGGACTTAGATCGCTTACGAATCCCCAAAAAATTAAGATGAGGATATGCCAAATTTAGGGTTGCCATCAGGTGTCATATATTAAATATGACTCTCCTATTTTATTGATGTATTGCTTCATATGTAAATTATTTTGGATATATTAATGTAGCAGGTAACATGGACTTCTCCAGCAAACTTCTACAGCTGAAATATATGTTACATTAATTACTCTCCTAATTTCGAAGTAAATCTCCTATTGCAATTCAAATATAGGCGATATTCTCTTATATTTAAGGTAATTTATGGAAAGCAGCTGTCTTAGATTATATATTCCCATAGCTTACAGCCACTAAATCTGTGCAAAAATACGTGAGGGAGACAGTAGAATACCGAACATGCGCATGAGTTGATATTTCCGGAATTTCACTGGCGTGTGGCGTGTTACTTCCTTAGAACGTAAAGGGGTTTATGGTGTTGTAGTTAACACCAGGCGCAATTGCAATTATTGCTGGTCTTGTGTATTAACTGTAGAATAATGAACGTAGATATTAAATAAAAGCGTATTAAGAGTTAAATATGTAATGTGTGAAATACATACGTTAATCAAAATTATCTGTCAATCTACATAAACATTCTAATTCTAGTAGTCGCTTACGTCACATCTCCTCTTCCCGGGTTTCCCTTTTCATCACAATCACAAGTTTAGTCTTTGTGGTGCTTTGATAGCGCGTCTAGAGGAAATTGTTGATGTAGGGTTATCCGAAGAAGAAAGTGGTCTCAACATAGTTTTATTTCGACGATATAATCCTTCCTTTGTAGCTACGGTATAGGATCTCGGAGCTACGTTCTCTACAATTGTTCCCTCTTCTTGCCTATCAGGGATGAATACTGAGGAACCAATCTCAAGAGGGACTTCTTCTTTCGATCGATGACGTTGGTCGAAGTATTCTGCCTGTTCACTACGATAGCACTTGTCCCACTCACGAAATTGTTTATGGTTCACGTTTTTTGGAATAAGTTCTTTGGTCAGGAGAGGAATCCGAGTGCCCAACTTCCTTCCCATCAGGAGTTCTGCTAGGCTGTATCCAAAAAGCCCGGGAGTGGCCCTATATTCTAGCAAGGCGAGAGTGGGATCCTTATTCTTGCAAAGAATCTTCTTGAGAGTTTGGACTGATCGCTCCGCTTCTCCATTCGACTGATGATATAAGGGGCTGCTCGTCACAATCTTGAAATCATAATTTTTTTGCAAATGTTTTCCATTCTTCGCTTGTAAATTGGGATCCAGAGTCGGAGACTACGACTTCTGGAATCCCAAAGCGGGCAAAACAACTCTTCATTTTTTTTATTAGTTCTGTCACAGACATAGTTGTGACATTGATAATATCCAAATACCTTGAATAGTAGTCCACCACAGCCAGATAAGTACATTTTTGGAATTCGAAATAATCTACAGCTATTTTTTGCCATGGGTACAAAGGAGTAGGAGAAGGGATCATCTTCTCGGTATATTGGCGTCTATGCTTGGCGCAAATGTTACAATTTTCTACCACATTACTTAATTCTTCAGTGATACCTGGCCAAAAAACAGATTGTTTAGCCCTCAGGAGTGTACGGTTTATCCCGAAATGACCGTCATGCAGTTTTTCCTTTATTTCTTCACGTAGCTCTGCTGGTATAATCATTCTTTCATTATAGCAGACTAGACCATCAATAATTGTGATAACATTACGGAATGCGAACCATCGCTTCATCAACTCCTGTACATTCTTTTTGTGATCTGGCCAACCGTTCTCAACATACTCGACTAACAGTTGATATTCACGATTCTGACTTTGGGCGTTTTTAATTTCCTCGAGTCTGGATGGAGTTGTTGGGAATCCCGAAGAAACCACCTTGATATGAGCTTCGACTTTTGCAGTGAAATCATCCTCCGAATCAGAAAGAGGTGCTCGGCTCAAAGTATCTGCTGTAAACATTTCTTTTCCTGGAATGTGCTCAATGGTGTAATCGAATTTCATTAGCCTTATTCTTAAATCTTAAATCGTTGAATTCGTATAGGTTTGCTATCCAGGTCTTTACTGCCTAATAATGGAACAAGGGGTTTATGGTCGGTTAGAATTGTGAACTTCTTCCCCCTTAGAAATTTAGAGAATTTTTCCGCTGCCCAAGCGATTGCAAGAGCTTCTTTTTCTATTGGGGCATACCTTTTTTCGGCCGATTGAAGTGATCTAGATGCGCACATTACAATTCGCAGTTTATCATGTTCATTCTGTAGTAAAATTGCGCCCAGTCCGTAAGCTGATGCATCAGCCATAACAGTTGCTTTTGCTGTTACATCATACCGTGTCAAACAAATTGATTTCTTAACTAATTCAATTATTTCTGAAAGAATTTTCTGATGATCTTGGGTCCAACAAAACTTTCTATTTTTCTTTCACGAAAAGCCTCCGTTTTCCCTGCAAGGTTTGGAACGAACTTGTTGAGTTGATTTAGCATGCCATTCAGACGACGAATTCCTGATATGTCTTTTGGAGTAGGTAAATCCTCTAAGGCTCGCACACGATCAGGATCAACCCTTATTCCTTGAGAATCAATTATAATACGCAGAAATTTCACTGATGTTTGTGAAAAAGAGCATTTTTCTTTGTTTAAAACTACATTAGCATCTTTCAGTCTATTCAAAACTTGAGTTAATCGATAATCATGTTCTTCTGGCGTCTTCCCATGAATAAGTAGGTCATCCATATGACATAAGACTCCCTCTAGTCCCTCCAATAGTTTAGATATTTGAGCAGAAAAAAATTCTGGGGCTGATGTGATTCCAAAAGGTAGACGTTTAAAGAAAAATCTTCCAAATGGTGTAATAAATGTTGTTAATTTAGCAGTATCAGGTGACATTTTTATCTGCCAAAACCCAGATTGCGCATCCAATTTTGAAAATATTCTAGAGCTTCCAATCTGGCCCAAGGTTTCTTCAACATCTGGTAATATGATTTTTGGGCGTTTCACATTCTTATTCAAATCTGTATAGTCTACACATAATCGTAAACTACCGTTTTGCTTAATGACTGGGACAATAGGTGCACACCAATCAGTAGGCTCTTCGATTTTTTCTATTACTCCTATCTTTAACATTCTTTGCAACTCTGCTGCTACTTTAGGACGGAGAGGAATTGAAATATTCCGAGGGGCTCTAACTGAATATGGTTTAGCATCATCAATTAGTTCAATTTTGTATTCTCCTGGAATGTTACCTAATCCCATAAAAAGCTGGGGATACTCTTGTACAACTTTATCTAAGGCGATTGATTGAATATTGCCTGATTCATACGATTTTCGAACTGTGATTAGGTTAAGAGATTTTATGGCTGTAATTCCGAGCAAAGGTTCACTTAAAGTAGGAATTACATATATTTTTTCTTTCACTTTCTGACCATTAAATTCTAAATCTGCCGTAAACATGCCATCCACCACCATGATATTTTGGTCGGCATTTTTTAGAGTTTTGTCTGACTTGAAAAGATTTGGAATTTGCTTTAGAATATTAGATGGTATGGCTGTAACTTCTGCCCTAGAGTCAAGTTTAGCTTTAACCTTTTGATTATTAATAAAAATGTCAACGTACCAAGCATTGGAAACTCCACCAATGGTATTCAACGCTCCAAGGTACGTTGCGTCATCCTCTTGCTCGCTGACTGAAATTTGCGAGGATTCGCGCAATTCCCCAATTTTCTTTGTGAATTTACCCACAATGGTATTTGATTTGCACATTTTTTTAAAATGGCCAACTTTTCCACACTTACAGGTATAGTCCTTAGCTGGACAAGAATTTCGTGGGTGTCTAGGACCCCCACAATTCCAGCACCCACCTTCCATAATATCAGTTGTGGACTCCTTTAGTGGAAATTTGCTAGACGAACTGGAATGGATACGATCAACTTCTGATGAAGGTTTTGATTGAATCTCCTCCAGTTCATAAGTTTGTTTTTTTATGGATTCTCTCTGTTTTGCCTTTTGTATAGCTTTCTCCAAAGTTAGGTCAGCATCCTCTTGTAGTTGTGAGGATAAAGTCTTATCTAAAATACCGACAACTATACGGTCACGAACAAGTTCATCTCTAAGATCCCGGAAAGCACAACGTTCGGCCATCAAGCTGATATCAGTGAGAAACTGTTCAAAGATCTCCCCTTTTTTCTGGTTTCGAGAATTAAATTTAGCACGCTCATAAAGTATATTCCGCTTCCCTATAAAAGCTTCGTCAAATGCGGCCTTTACAGTTTTATAGGAGTTAAGTTTTTCTTCAGGAAGTTGGGAGCGAGTCAATATATCTTCAGCATTCTCCCCCATACAATAAATTAAAGAAGTCACTTGTTTTTCTTCTGATTCCTGATCAAGCCCCGACGCCATCCGGTATCTTTCGAATCTTTTAAACCATTTTTCCCATTTTTCTGGGCACTGGAAGTCAAATTGAGCCGGTGGTTGAAACGTGATGTGTCGACGGCCGACCGATGAATTATCTTGCAATTCACCAAATGATTCATCAATATTCTTCTTATTTTTCTTACGACTCATGCTGCCACCATGTAGAATAATGAACGTAGATATTAAATAAAAGCGTATTAAGAGTTATAGCTATTTGTGTATTAAGAGCGCAAAATGATATATTGTCGATTGAAAGAGACAGTTGACGCGCGACGAAGGAGCGCGGCAATCTCTTGAAATCGACAATCAATTTGCGCTCGAATTACACACAAGATTTTTTCTACAATCGAGCAGTTCACATATTTCCAGAAATTTAAATTTTTCACTCAAATCATTTTAATCTTATGCCCAAATGAAAGATGTCATTTACTCGTTGTCATTGGATACACTGAGCAATGCATATTTGATTTATAGTTAATAATTGGGAGAGCGAGCGTTTTTTCTATTTTGTCGCTTATAAGCGACAAAGTGACATTCCTCGTAAATTATGACGTTTGCGTTGTCAAATACGAGCGCAAATGCCTACTTTGGATATCGATTGTAGAAAAAATATGTAATCTGTGAAATACATACGTTAATCAAAATTATCTGTCAATCTACATAAACATTCTAATTCTAGTAGTCGCTTACGTCACATTAACAAATGTGTTTTAAAATTGGATTTGTAGTTGCTAACAAAATCACACCGGTGACATTTTACATCTGTGGCAGGGTCCATGTCTTAACAAATGTTAGATGTTAAGATGTGCTGTAGGACTGGATTTATGTTTTGTGACGAAACCGCACTTGGCGCACTTTAAATCCTTTGGTGATCTTGTATGTTAATACATGTATTTTATAATTAGATTTATCATTTGTTGCATATTCACACTGGCCGCTTTTTAAATTCTTAGTAGTCTCGTGCGTCAAACTGCTATTGGGCAGGCGTGGTGTTCTACTTAATGTGCAAAATATATCTCTGTCTTTGTTAGGTACATACAACAATACAACATGGCATAGATGGTCCTTACTGAAAGTAAATGGGAGTCTATATCTATGTATACAGTGATATTCATTAAGAAGCAGACATAGGGTGTATTGTTTTTTCCTGTCTACTTTTAAATGACAACATTTCCTCTGAAGGACGCCTAAGTTTATGCAACCACAATATCTTACGCCCATGCATTCTACACTGTTATTCTGGATTTTGCAATTGCATTGTATTAGTACATTCCAAATGCTTAATGCAAACGGTGCGATACATTTTTTGTTCCTTTTGAAATGTCACTGTTTCAGCAAAAGCACTCACCTTTTTGTCAATAGCGTTGCTTTTTAGATGGGTTAGGTGGTAGGTAAAAGCGACAGGAAAGAGTAAGTACTCTTTTAGGTTATGTAGAAGATATATTAAATTCGGCCGCTGTTTCCCTTAAGTTTCTTATGGGATTCTGCTTTGGGATTTGCACTATACTAAATGACAATATCAACTTTTTCTTCAGTTGAACACGACCGAAAATAATACGGAAGCCAAAGCAACAATATCCAAATTAATTAATATGATAATCAGATCTTCATTTGATTTAAGACGTTATTTTGATTGCATAAAATTAGGCGTTCTTCAGAAGAGATTTTGTCATTTAAAAGTAAACATAGGGAAACAATACGCGCAAATCCCTATGTCTACTTCTTAATTAATATCACTGTATATGATCTAAGGTGGCTGTGCATGTGACGTACGCAGTACTTGACGCCATTATGATTAACAAATCAGGATAAATTATATTTACACACACCAATTTTACGATCTCTTATGATTGATTATGAGGTACCTGGCAATCCTAGCCCAATTTGAGAATCAAACTGACAGGGGGAATTATTACGCATCACTGTCTCCTCACAACTTTGTTTTGTAAGAAATGTGATGAAAACTAACTGAATCCATATAACTGCAAAGCACCGCGTATACAGAGTGGCCCACTAAAAAACAGTCAATGCCAATTTTGGCCGCTTTACGACAGTTCTGCTAGAAACGCTCCAACAGGTTTATTTTAGTTTTGAGATCTAAATAATACTATTGACATAACTTCAATCCTGAGAAAGGGGTGTATTGCACCGCAAAAATTTTAAATGGGAAGGGTTGGTAGACGTTAGATAGTTTGATAAGCATGTTCATTCTGTTTTCCGCACTGTTTAATTATGCAATAATAAAGATTTAGTTAAAAATGGCGTTGTACGTTTTGTAACATTTCTGCGGTAGTCTGACTGCATTGGTATACTATACGTTATCGTAATTTGAATGACCCCACACGAAAAAAATCTAACGGCGACAGATCTGGCCATCTGGGTGGCCATTCGACAGGATCTCTATGTCCAACCCATCTATCAGGGAACCGAATGCTTAAGTACTGTCGTAACATTTTGTGTAAAAGGACCCCGTCTTGCTGAATATCACGTCGTCTTTTGTGTAACGCTCATCGCATTCCACAATGTTGGTTATCATTGGATCAATAAGATCTTCTAACAAAGACATGTCTCCAGTCACCAGGAAGTAAACATTATCATCGACATTTTTCATTCGTTTGAGAGGCATATCGATGCTATTAAAAGAACTTCTGAAGTTTTAAGGAGTGCTGTCATCAATATATTTTAATTGTATTACGAATGATATTTAGATATACCTTAAAACTGAAGGTTATCAAAATCCATCTTCAGTGTTGGCTACAATTGTGAATAACAACTATACTGGCTCCAAACAGTTCAGTTTTTAATTTAAAATTGATTACGATTGATTACGTTCATCTGGGTAGTTTCCGAATTGCAATAGGAGCTAACAATTATAAAGTAATCAGTACAGTTATCTGTGTTTATTGTAAATGTTTGCGTCCTGATGGCGTTACAGTAGTATTTTAAAGTTCTTGGGTGCTAAACTGGCAGCAAATGAAGCTCTTTCTACGTTTAGCGACCATTCGTGCATGCAATCATAAACGTGTCTTTACATACCTGACGTAACACTTATAGTAGACACATGAAACCAACAGAAGCCAACACGAGTTTGAAATACGTATCTTCAAAATGATAATAATACTCGTTTATGAGGCATCCTGCACACGCCTTTGTTGCCCGATATTACAAACAGCCCCAGCTATCTATATTATCTATATTATCTTGGAGAAGTCAGGAATTATGTCGACCATGACGGAGGAATAGGTTCCAATGGTTGTTGCTTTAAATAAAATACGTCTTCATTCGAATATACATTGAATTTAGGAACGCCCCAAGGCAGCAACTTAAAGCCAATTGCACCGTCAAAATTATGTATCGCTTAAAGTTAAGCACAACTTAAGTCTTAAATACCATAGCAACGATTGTCTTAATAATCGTTGGCAAAGATTTTAAGTTCAACTTAACTTTAAGTAAGGCTGAATTTTGTTGGTGCAACTGGGGCTTAGACCCGATCTTGTTCGTACTATACATTAACGACCTGCCACGTCATATACTGCACGGAACCTCCGGGAAGATATCACATTCAGACAACCAAGTGTGCGTTGCTATAGAATCAACACAATCCTGGTTAACCTCTTGTGGAAATCGTCCATGTAAAGGCTTTTGGTTCCATGTCTGTATGTTATTTGTGATGTATGTAAGTTTGGATGTGGGTGGGAGTATATTAGTTTAGTGTAGGTTAAGTGGTGTGTAAGATTTGTCTGCATATGTTACTGTTTTGTGTAGGACTGAAGTATCTGATTTGTTATAAAAGTATTGTCGTAAATTGTGTATTTGTGTTTGGTGCAATAGTTTTATATCTGTAAGTCCTCTACCTCCTTCCGAACGAGGAAAGTAAAGTCGTATAATAGAGGAGTGAGGGTGATGTATATGGTGTTTTGTTAATAATGTACGGGTGTTTCTCTGTATTTGTCCAACGTATAATTCCAAAAGAGTATGTAAGTACTGGTGTGGCATAAGTGTTAATAACTTTGATTGTATTATACTCGTATGTTGTGTTTAATGTGTGTGTTTTGCTGAAAACCAAGTTACTTATAAGTTTCATTCTCGCCCATGGAATTTATAAAATTACCCTGTTCGAGCTCATAATCTAAAAGTTGTCTTTTACCAGCTGTGATGTGTTTATTTTACATTTATCGATTCCAAAGTCCATTTGTGTCACGTGAAAATGTTTCGGTAATGTGTAGAAGGTGATTCGGTTTTATTCTTGTGGAAGAGTATAATTTAAGATCGTCCATGTAAAACAGGTGTGTTAATGTGATGTATTTCGTGGTTATGTTTAATGTTGTACCCAAAGTTCGTAGTGTTTAAGAAATATGAAAGTGGATTAAGCGCAAGACAAAACCAGAGCGGACTTAAAGAATCGCCTTGAAAAATTCCTCTTTTAATTTGTATTGGGTCAGTAATAAGTTTTGTGCCGTTTAGTGTAAGTGTTAACGTAGAGTTCCAACATGACATTATGTAATTGAGGAGTTGTGTCATATTGTTGCTGACTTTGTATATTGAGAGTACTTGTTGTAACCAAGAGTGTGGTACTGAATCGAATGCTTTTTTGTATTCAATGTATGCAGTGTGTATGTTTCATTTGTTATGTCTGGATTGTTCAAGTATTACAGAGTCTATAATGAGTTGCTCTTTACAGCCTCTGGAATACTTGGTACACCCGTTTTGTTCTACGTATAAAATGTTGTTATCAGTACAGTGTTGGTTTATTTTGTTTGTAATGCATGATGTAAGGATTTTGTATATTGTAGGAAGGCATGTAATTGGTCTATATTTAGATTATTATTATTATTATATACGTATATTATAACATAATTATTTCATTTTATAGTTTAGACTTTTAGAGGAAAATGTCAAAGAAAAAAGAACAAATACATTAAAGAAGATTGAAGAATTAGTGATAATAGTACACACAAAAATGTATACCTATAAGTAATCCCTACAGAGGCATATTGATCAATATTTGTCAGTATTGCATAAGTTGCTTCCGCAAGACGTACAGTATTTTATTGATTTGTCATTAGCCTGGTGGTGTTCACAATTAAATACAGAACAATATCTCTGCGCTACACCTAGAAGGACCCCATTTTCTGTAAAAGCTAAAAAAGAGGTAGATGATCTTCGTGTATTAGATAACATATTACTTACATCCATAAGTAAACATGCAATATCCTATACAGCGCTCACTTTTGGTAATATTATCAAAGTGACGACAGTTGAGGGTGGCTTGAGGATCCTTGTCAGTAGCATAGCAACGATAGCAGTCGATTGCGCCATTTCCACCTATACAATTCGATACGTTTTAAGGAAATTAAAATTTACAATAAATTATGATTAATAACATACAGGTTGGTAAACTTGTTTACCATCTCCATTTTAAATACTTTAATTGCGAATTCAAATCTAATAATCTGCCTGTGTAATGTATCGAGTTGTTTATTGGTGACATCCTACTTCATATCCAAATAAATCTTCTCTACTACTTTTCGAACGTGATTATCTCAGTATAAAAATTATATCCTCTATCAATATAAAGATTAGTGACATTCATCTTAATGTCGATGATGTGGCAAACAATTTACAACTTTAGTTTGATTGTAATTTCAAATTATCGACCAGTGCTAGTGAGACTTTCTTAAGACTCAAGAAATTACAACAAACAGGAATGTACTTACTGTTAAAACTTTCCCAGACAGTGTCACGTTACCAAGATAGGCATCAGAAAAACAGTTATTATAAAAAAGAGTGTGCGGTGGTGATGGTGATGAACCTACATGTCGACTTCATGTAGCTCACGTTTACTCTTTCACTTCAAGGCCAGTTGCAGATATATCCTAGAGCTGAAGGTCATTAGAATTCTCTTCAGAAAAGTAATCAGTACTGTCATCTATGTTAATTCTAAATGCTTGTTTTCGAAGCCGCTAAAGTAGTATTTTAAAGTTCGTGATTGCTATACTGGCAGCAAATGGTTTCAAATTTTAGAGACCATTCGTGCATACAATCAGAAACGTGTCTTTACATACCTAAGGCAACATCTACACACAAGAGACCAACAGACGCTAACACAAGTTTAAAATACATGTCTTCAATCAAAATTATGATAATACTCGTTTATAAGGCAGCCTGCAGATGGATTTATACATACGTATCAAAAGGTTTAACAGATTAGATACATTTTAAAATAGAATGATTATCTGCTTTTCTTATCATTATTACAAAGACTTATCCCGATTACTATTATCTACAATCCACTAATTACTGTAGGACTTCCTTTTATTTGCAAACACCAAAAATAAAATGCGAGTTACACATATTCACTGCCTGAAGCAATTGTTGAAAGACATTAGTTTCTGAAGTTTCTGTTTCAGAAAAGAAAAAATGCTTCACACATCGGATTGCGCGAGTATTGACATCAGAGGCGAGTACATATTCATTCTTATTCCTTTGCAATTACAATTCAAAAATGCATTACAAAGAAGAGCGTTGTGTCGGCGATTCGATGACGGAGGAATGTGGAAGAAGGTGTCTCAAAAACGACTTCCAATGGATGTTGCTGAAAATTACAACATAATTACTTCATTTTGTAGTTTAGACTTTTAGAGTGTAAGTTTTTTACGTTGCGGTGTCTGTAACACTCACATACTCATGGGAAGAACGCTTTCTCGCCGTGCTATCAACGGGATTTGATAATTCTATATTAGATAACATATTACTTATTTCCAAAAACACAGCTATCTCCATTTTAAATCTTCAATTTCGAATTCGAATCTATTAATCTGCCCATATCATGCCTGAAGTGCTTTATTGTTGTTTTCTTCTGTGCTATCAACGGGATTTGATAATCCTATATTAGATAACATATTACTTATTTTCAAAAACACAGCTATCTCCATTTTAAATCTTTAATTTCGAATTCGAATCAATTTATCTGCCCATTTCATGCCTGAAGTGCTTTATTGTTGTTTTGTACCACTCTCTCCTTTTTTATGTAAGAAACTGAATCTATTGCAAACACAACAACAACCATGGAAAACAGAGTCAACTTATGGAGGGAAGCAATTGCGATTGTAACCCCAGAAATGTGGAAACGATAATAATAAAGGAATGGTATGCACGCGAAAAACAATTGAATATTGCAGAAATACCCCAATCATTATAAACTTGGGTGAAAACTAAATATGAGGCGCCGTTTGTACCATAATTATTTCTCACGAATATATAAAATAAAATAAATATATCTAGAACTTTTATATATTTGCATTAAAAGTTTTAAATATATAAGAAATTAAGTTTTATATATCTGCAGGATAGCATCGATGAAATATATAAAACTTCGGCTTTATGTATCTATCACTGGTGGCACTACAGTAACCTCAAACTTGGCAACAGCAACCAGCGTTTGTTTCATTTGAACAACTGATCTGCTAGTTCTGTTTACATTTCGAATATTATACATATACTTATTATGTACATATTATTGGATTAAGAAAGAAAACACACTGTCGAATGTCTGATCTGCTAGTTTTCACGCCGCCGTTTCTATTTCGTGTACTTCTAACAAGCAACCTATCACTATTTTATTTTTATAGTAAATTTTCAAACTTGAAACCGGTTCATATAATTAAAGTGTAATAAATGCATGCACTAGTACCTATATTTTCTCAGCCCCTGGAAGGTATTGTTTGTACTGATCTATACAAATTCAAATTGATCTCTTACACTGTCAGGGAAAATTAAAATGATCTGTAAGTCTTAGATAAAAAATGAATACGGAAACTTCATTACATCAAATACACAACTTACGTCAACCCTTGTATATAGTTTTTTGTACTCATTGAATGGAAAGATAATGTTTCCAAGCATCCTCGATGCACGGGAAAACGACTTTCCCGCATCGCGGTGTTTTTTAGTTTCCGCTGGAGAGAAGGGGTTATGCGCGTTCTTCGGTTGGTAGTACTTATTGAAGTCAACGAACGTCATGTCATGGTTAACTGTCATCTGCTGTAAAATCAATTAAACCGTTGGTTGAGGGTATTTAGTGCGATTAATCGGAAACAGACGTACACTAAGTTTTACGTAAATATATAAACAAGAACTTATAACGCAATCAAATTATTTTTCAGAATTGGAACTCAAGAAAAAGTAAAATTTATTGTTAAAACGTCTTAAAATGTGACCAGTGATATTCTGCAACTATTCGCATATGCAGTTTAAGAAAGCACATATTAACACACACAAAGCTTCCAAGGATTTTAAATGTAACGAGTGTATTTACGCAACTCAAGATAAATCAAATTTGAGAACACATTTGTTCACACATGTCTTCTGGGAATATTAAATACGATCAGTACACTTACGCGACCAATAAGAGCACTCTTTTCAAAGCATATTTGTTAACATTGAAGACTTCCAAGGATATTCAGTGCAAACGATGCAATGCCGTGACCAGTAGTAGCACTCATTGCAAAGGCAAAATATGTATTAACCAAAGATGTGGAAGTTTTAAATGTGACCAGTGCAATTAAAAGTGGGTAGTTACAAAATTATGTTACCAACCAAACATATGATTGTGTTACCAACTCATGATTAAAAAAAAACTAATTTACAAAACTTAATTTTGACCTTTTTTTACGCAATTCGTTACAAAAAATATTGTACCTAACTCTTTCGGAAAGAATTTTCCCGCATTCGCACTAAATGCAGCACTCCCTACGGTCGTGCTGCAAACAAAGTGCTCATGCGGGAAAATTAACTTACCGAACTTGTTAGGTAAATAACTATTACAATTCTATTATCGTAGCGCTGATGTGCAATTTAAACTTTACGAATAAGATAAACAAAATGGGCCTGCACCTTTCGTTAAGCGACGGATATCAATAACAGTAATATACTTAGTGTACAAATTTGAGCGTGCGATAATTACTATTACCTGAATACAGTAGATGATAAACGCAAACCAAAACAATATGATTATTTTATAAATATGTGCCTTTCTCAACACATTCTTAAAAGTAATTGCTGAAGAATGTTATATCAAACACATTAATGCACGTCAGTTACTTTCTAATTTACAGACTCGAATAAATTCATACATCACCAGAATGAAGTTGCTGAAATATGTACGCTTCCTCATAATGTCAAACCAACTCTAATAGAAACTCTTCGACATCCATTTTCAAAACAACCCAATCTGAAAACTATGCGCAACAAATATGAGTGTAAACAAAAGTAGCAGATCAGCTGTTCAAATTCAAACAAAGGCTAGTCGATGTTGCCAAGTTTGAGGCTACTCTAGTGATAGGCATACGCAGCTGAAGTTTTATATATTTCATCGACGCATATAAAACTTGTTTCTTATATATTTAAAATTTTTAATGCAAATATATAAAAGTTCTATATATTTATTATATTTTTAGTCTAGGCGATAGAGACTGTAAAATTGGCAAACTGGACATTTTGAGGCGGAAAAGAAAAAATTGGTGGAATACGTTCAGTTAGGTGTCAGAAACAACATATTAAAAATCCCACCCCCCAGACCCTGTGCTAAAGGCTCCAGCCACCCCACCACCCCCCCCAGAAACCGTGTTTTCGCCCTTTTTGGCTGATATCTCGCGATCTATGAGGTCTAGATGAAATATTTTTTGCTGAAAATATTTCTCATGAAATTTCATACAAGGTAGATACTGAGAAGTTAGCCTAGGTCTATCTCTTAGCCTAGAAAATTCATAAAAGAGGCGAAAATCATCAATTTTCGTGGCTTTTTGCGTTTTTTTGAAAATATATCGCGATCTTTAGGGTTAGATGAAATATTTTTAGCTGAAAATGCTCCTCGTGAAATTTCTTACAAGTTAGATACTCATAAGTTGGCCTCTTAAATTACCTTTACACTATCATACTTCTCATGTGATTTGTCATATGATAAGTAACAAGCATTTAGATTTGTGTTTACACTATACTATTTTTGGTATTATGGCTGTCATAAGACAAATCATAAGGAAATAATACGTAAATCGTGGAATAGGAATGTTTCTATTTCTGCATGACAAATGACATGACTTATTTTAAATATTCAAGTGATCCCGCCCTTTTATGGTTACTTTTCGCATTTTGCTGTTGTACTTATCTGAAAAAGCTGAATACTTGAGTAAACCAGTAAACTTTTGATTATATCATTGATTATAGGTGTGTATAATCAATGATTATAGGTATATTAGTTACTAATGAAAGAATAAATTACATGAACAATAAATCGAGCAACGGGAAAGTTACTAGAAAAACTTGTGAACGTGCGTCTCCAATCGTTTTTGGAGAGTAGTGGAGTACTGGTAACGTATCAGGCCGGGTTCCGTAGAGGGCGATCGACGATCGACCATCTTGTCGGGCTCGGCGATGAAATCCTGCGGGCACTAGACCAACGCATACACCTTGTGGCGGTATTTTTCGACATTAGAGGAGCATATGACATGACGTGGAGACAAGGCATTGTAGAAAAAATGTACAACTACAATCTACGCGGAAATTTACCCAAGTTTGTACAATCGTTCCTCGAGAGACGAACATTTGCCGTCAGGATTGGTGATGTCCATTCTGGAGACCGCGTGCTGGAGAACGGTGTCCCGCAGGGTTCCACGTTGAGCTGCTCACTTTTCGCTATAGCGATAAACGAGATTGCCCCAGGAGTTACGAGAGATATCGACAAACGCCTTTACGTCGACGATCTCATGATAAGTTGTCCGAACGAGACGGTCGGTGGTGCGACGCGAAAACTTCAGGTCGCCATTGAGCGTATATATAGAAACGCGAGCGAAGTTGGATTCGTGCTCTCGGAAGAGAAGACGAAGGCACTGCATTTTTGCCGGCTCCGTAGGCCGCACTATGATCCCGTACTGTTCATGAACGGCCGAATCATTGAAGTGTCTCAGGAAATTAAATTTTTAGGCCTGGTTTTTGACAGTGAGCTTAGGTGGACTAGTCACGTTGAAAGCCTATTAACATCATGTCGAAAACTCTTAAATATCATGAGGGTACTCGCCCATCACAGGTGGAGAGCTGATCCCAAGACACTTATCCATATATACATATAAGGCACTGATACTTTCGAAACTAGACTACGGATGTAACGTCTACTCCACCTGTAACAACACTTTGCTAGGACAACTCGAGCCTTTCCGA